AAGATATCTTAAATAGAAAAGCCGTCTACATGATAAAATATTCAAGATATCTTGAATTCATTTTGAGATATCTTAAAAGGAATTTTGACTAGTCATAAGTACAGTTCTAGATATCTTTAAGTTAGTTTTGCCTAGTCGTTATTTGCTTTCAAGATATCTACAATTTAATTTGCACTAGTCAAAACTTCATTTGTGATATCTACAAATACATTTAAGATATCTTGAATAATGACGTAATTTAAGATATCTTTAATTGTAATTATGACTAGTCAGAACTAAAAGTGAGATATCTTGAAAGCAAATAATGACTAGTCAAAATTAACTTAGAGATATCTAGAACTGTATTTTTGACTAGTCAAAATTCAGTTTAAGATATCTTGAATTGAAGCCTCCATACAACTCAATGGTAAATCTGACGTCATTATGACTAGTCAGAATGTAATTAGAGATATCTTAAATGAGTATTTTGACTAGTCAAAATGCAATTCAAGATATCTTAAATAACCAATATGTCTAGTCAAAACTCAGTTTCAGATATCTGGAATGTAAGCGTGGTGAATCCTATTTTATGTTAAAAGGGCTTGCCATACTCCACCCTCATTTGCCCCACTCTGGACCCTTGAGCAAGGCCCTGAACCCACATCTGCTCCCCCGGGTGTCCTATAGAGCAGCTCTCTTTTCCACACAGAGGGCTGTGGTAGCTTAGTGGTCTGTGGTTGTGTCAGGAAGGGCATCTGGCATAAAAATAAATGCAAAGTCTTCGTAGTCATCTTCGGAAGTGAGTAGCTGAAAGAAGAAAAAAATATATTGTTCTATAGCAATATGAAGTAATTCAACTTTTTGTCTAAATTTTACTGTAATCAATTTGTTTTATGTTAAATCTATTTTTATATCGTATTTTTCAGACTGCATGTTGCACCAGATTATAAGGCACAATATCAACGAACACATCTGTACATAAGGTGCACTGGATTATAGGGTGTATTAAGCAAAACCAATAGTCAGATAAGTCAAACTTTATTCAACTCATTCACAATCACCACATAAAATCAGTTCGAGGTCAGTAAGCACATTCAGAGTTAATACAAAAGGCTCACTGTCGATTTTTGAGAAAAGTAAAGGATTTTAAGTGCACCTTATAGTCCGAAAAATATGGTATATTGAATTTCTGACAAAAGTATAGGTGTAAAATGCATGCAATGTTTCTCGTTAAAGCGTGATGGTAGCATTTTAAATTCAAAGTTAAACACTTAATTCTAAGTTTTTACTCATTATTTAAAAAAAACAATCTGATGCTTATCAAGTCCTAGTGAATATTTCTGTTCACTGCCCTGAGACAACTTCCGTTGTGACTTGGCGCTATATAAATAAACTGAATTGAACTGATGTTCTTTGCCATGCATGCAGTCTTACACATTTTCACATGCGCTAAAATGTTCCCCGTCTGCTGAACTTCAGCTTTAAAGACAAAAGTAAGTCTGTTTGCAGGGTCTCACCTGCACTGCAACACGGCTTTGACTTGATCCAGTCGGTGTCGATGAGATGTCAAAGCAGATGGCTCAGTGGAGAGATTGGATGCTCAAGCAGCTTTCCTCACGCCAAAGCCTCAAATTACTATTTTATCCCTTCAGGTGGCCTAAATATTCAGATTAATTGACACTATGTGCGTGGCATGCAACAAATTTTCACTGGAGTTTGTCAGCAGAGCTGAAACACTGACAGTACTTTGGTTGAAAGTTAGAAATAACAATGCAGAAAACTCATGCTTTACCTCGATATGCTATCTATAAAAGATGACATGCATGTTATCTTTGGTTTAAAGCACAGTTTAAAAGAAATGCCATTTGACCAAGATGATGACTGAAGAAAGAAAAACATAAAAAAAACAAATGAAATTATTGAAATATCAAAAGTTTGGCATTTCGATCAGTGTTGCGTACAATCAATGGGAAATCTTATTATTGTAAGATGCGATGCTAAAACATGTGTAGCTACTACCACATCAAATTTTAGCTTATTATCTATAATTGTTTGTCTTTTTTTTTGTTAACTTACATCTCTTAGCAGTGTGACTGCAATGAACTTTGCTGACTCCAAATCTTAAACAGTTGTAGATGTACTTCCAGTGATTACTTTCTGAAAGTTTCATTAAAATCCGTGTAGTGGTTCATGAGATATTTTGCTAACAGACAAACTGGACTGACCCCAACAGCTAACTTAAAAAGTTTAATATTAAAAAATTGTTTAGGAGCATTTAAAATACGAATTGTGAGAGACTCTCAGCTACAGCAAAACCAATTTGTATTATCTGTAAAACTGACTAAACTGTGTTTGCTGGGGCAGCCATCTTGAATTGGTTCCAAGACTGAACCATGTTTCATTCAAGAAAGTTTCATTCAAATCCGTCCCGTGATTCATGAATTGTTTCTTTAACTGTCACACACTAATGACTAGTATGAAATTTGTAAAGAAAAATCTAAATCAGTGCATCACCAGTATGCACAAAAATCACGTTGCAACCAGTTTGTGCTCAGAATACGTGTTGTGGGTGAGTCTCAGCTTCTACCACAACAGATTTTAAATCAGCCTATT